TTAATTTCAGTATATTACAGGGGTTCAAATGTTCAGGTTACATATATTGCCTTTGCCCCACCCGAGTCAGTGCTTCGAGCATGTCCATCCCCCAGATGGTGCCTATACCTGTCCCCTCTCCCTCCTCCCATCTGTCTGACACCCGATGAATATTATTACTGTATCTTCACTTAAGTATTGATCGGTTAATACCAATTTGATGGTGAATACATTTCGTGCTTGTTTTTTCACTCTTGTGATACTTCAGTTAGTAGAATAGGTTCTAGCTCTATCCAGGGTAATACAAGAGGTGCCAATCACCATTGTTTTTTGTGACTGAGTAGAACTCCATGGTATACATATACCACATTTTATTAATCCATTCACGTATTGATGGGTACTTGGGTTGTTTCCACATCTTTGCAATTGTGAATTGTGCTCCTATAAACATTTGAGTACAGATGTCTTTTTTATAGAATGTCTTTTGTTCTTTTGGGTAGATGCCCAGTCATGGGATTGCTGGATCAAATGGTAGTTCTACTTGTAGCTCTTTGAGGTATCTCCATATTGCTTTCCACAGAGGTTGTACTAGTTTGCAGTCCCACCAGCAGTGTAGGAGTGTTCCTATCTCTCTGCATCCATGTCAACATTTATTGTTGTGGGACTTTCTGATAAAGGCCATTCTTACTGGAGATAAGTGATATCTCACTGTGGTTTTGATTTACATTTCCCGGATGATTAGAGATGTGGAGCATTTTTCATATGTTTGTTGGCCATAAGTATATATTCTTTTGAAAAGTTTCTGTTCATGTCCTTTGCCCACTTTTTGATAGGGTTGTTTGATTTTTTCTTCCTGATTTTCCTGAGTTCTATATAGATTCTAGTTATAAGCCCTTTATCAGATGTGTAACATGCGAATATTTTCTCCCATTCTGTAGGTTGTCTGTTTGCTCTTGTGATAGTTTCCTTGGCTATGCAGAAGCTTTTTAATGTGATCAGGTCCCATTTATTTATTTTTGTTGTTGCTGCAATTGCCTTTGGGGTCTTCTTCATAAATTCTTTGCCTAGGCCAATGTTTATAAGAGTTTTTACAACAATTTCTTCTAGAATTCTTATAGTTTCATGGCTTAGGTTTAAGTCTATTATCCACCGTGAGTTGATTTTTGTGAGAGGTGAAAGGTGCCGATCCTGTTTCAGTCTTCTATATGTGGCTATCCAATTTTCCCAGGACCATTTATTGAATAAGAATTTTTTCCCCCAGTGTATGTTTTTGTCTGCTTCCTCAAAGATTAGATGACTATATGAGGATGGTTTTATGTCTAGGTTCTCAGTCCTGTTCCATTGGTCTATGTCTCTGTTCTTGTGCCAGTACCCTGATGTTTTAGTTACTATAGCCTTGTAGTATAGCTTGAAGTCTGGTAAATGGATGCCTCTCAATTTGTTCTTTTTGCTTAAGATTGCTTTTGCTATACAGGGTCTTCTCTGGTTCCATAGGAAGCACAGGATTATATTTTCTTGATCTGTAAAAAATGATGTTGGTATTTTAATAGGGATTGCATTGAATTTGTAGATCACTTTAGGTAGTATAGACATTTTAAAAATGTTGATTCTGCCGACTCATGAGCATGGCATGGTTTTCCACGTGTTTATGTCCATTGCTATTTCCTTCCTCAGTATTTCATAGTTCTCCTTGTAGAGGTCTTTTACCTCCTTAGTTAAATATATTCCTAGGTATTTTATTTTCTTTGTTGCTATTTTGAAGGGTATTGAGTCTTTGATGTAGTTCTCAGTTTGACTGTTGTTGGTATACAGGAATGCTACTGATTTCTGTGCATTGATTTTGTACCTTGAGACTTTGCTGAATTTGTGTATCAATTCCAGTAGTCTCGTGGCAGAATCTTCAGGGTTTTCTAGATATAAGATCATATTGTTAGCAAAGAGCAATAGTTTGACCTCCTCTGCCCCCATTTGGATGCCCTTGATTTCCTTCTCTTGTCTGATTGCTCTGGCTAGGACTTCCAGCACTATGTTGAATAGAAGTGTTAATAGAGGGCAACATTGTCTGGTTCCAGTTTTAAGTGGGAATGCTTTCAATTTTTCCCAATTCAGTATGATGTTGGCTGTGGGTTTGTCCTATATGGCTTTCATCATTTTGAGGTAAGTCCTATCTATGACTATTTTGTTAAGCGTTCTTTACATAAAAGGGTGTTGAATTTTGTTGAATGCCTTTTCTGCGTCTATTGAGAGGATCATATGGTCTTTGTTTTTGTTTCTATTTATGTGGTGAATTATGTTTATAGATTTGGGTATGTTGAACCATCCCTGCATCTCTGGGATGAAGCCCACTTAATCATGATAGATTATATACATATATATTTTATTTCAGCAGATGTTTAGGTTATGTATGTTGCCCTTGCCCCCCCCCAAGTCCGAGCTTCAAGCGTGTCCATCTCCTGGATGGTGCGCATTGCACTCTTTGTGTATGCATATACCTGTCCCCTCCTCCCCCTTCACCCTGCCCGACATCCAATAAATGTTATTCTTATATGTGCACTTCTGTGTTGATCAGTTAATACCAATTTGATGGTGAGTACATGTGGTGCTTGTCTTTCCATTCTTGGGATACTTCACTAAGTAGAATGTGTTCCAGCTCTATCCAGGAGAATACAAGAGGTGCTATATCACCATTGTTTCTTAAACCTGAATAGTACTCCATGGTATACATATACATATACCACATCCTAGCTCACAGCAACCTCAGACTCCTGGGCTCAAGCGATCCTACTGCCTCAGCCTCTGAGTGGCTGGGACTACAGGCACGTGCCACCATGCCTGGCTAATTTTTTCTATATATTTTTAGTTGTCCGATTAATTTCTTTCTCTT